ACACACACACACAGACTCACACACACATTCACATACTCTCTCACACATACACACACACTGACACACACACACATTCACATACTCTCTCACACACACACTGACTCACACACACATTCACATACTCTCTCACACTCTCTCACACACACACACAGACTCACACACACACAAACTCACACACACTGACACACACATATACATTCTCACACACATATACACTTTCACTCACAGACACAGACATGCACACATACACACACACACACATACATACATACGCATGCACACAGACACACACACACACATAGACATACACACACACATGTACACAGACACACACACACACTCACACGTATACACACACACAGTCATAGATATATACACACATACACACTGACACACACACACAGACACACACACACTCTCATACAGTCACACACTCACACAGTCACACACACACACACACTCACTCACTCATTCACTCACACACTCTCACTCACACACACACTCACACAGAAACATACACTCACACAATCTCACATACACACTCACACTCATAGAACATGGAACATTACAGCGCAGTACAGGCCCTTCGGCCCTCGATGTTGCGCCGACCTGTGAAACCAATCTGAAGCCCATCTAACCTACACTATTCCATTATCATCCATATGTTTATCCAATGACCATTTAAATGCCCTTAAAGTTGGCGAGTCTACTATTTTTGCAGGCAGGGCATTCCACGCCTTTACTACTCTCTGAGTAAAGAACCTACCTCTGACATCTGTCCTATATCTATCACCCCTCAATTTAAAGCCATGTCCCCTCGTGCTAGCCATCTCTCTCATACACACTCACACACTCATACTCACATTCACACACACACACACTCACACGCTCACTCTCAAACAGACACACACACGTAAACACACATACACATACACGCACAGGCGCACACATACTCTCAGACACACACAGAAACACACACGCACACAGAAAGGCACACACACACACACAGAGACACAGATACACACACACACTCTCTCTCTCTCACACATTCTCACACACACACTCACACACAGAGACACACACACACTCTCTCTCACACACTCTCATAGACACACATACACACACACTCTCACATACACACACACACACACAGACTCACACACAGACACGCGCGCACAGATACACATACACACAGACACACACTCTCTCTCTCTCACACACACACACTCTCTCAGACACACACACTCTCTCTCACATTCTCACATACACACACTCTCTCTCTTAGACACACACAAACACTCTCACACACACACACACTCTCTCACATACACACACTCTCTCTCTCAGACACACACACACACTCTCTCACACTCTCACACACACACACACACTCTCACATTCTCACACACACACACTCTCTCTCTCAGATACACACACACACTGTCACACACAAACACACACACACACTCTCTGACACACATACACACACACAGACACACATACACACACAGACACACTCATGCACACACAGACACAGACACACACACACAGGCACACAATGAGACCGCCGCTGATCCTTTTCCTCAGCACTCTCTGCCTGCCCTGTCCCCTTGTGCCCAAAATCTGTTCACTCTCAGTTTTGAAAGTACTGAATGGCTGAATCTCCCCGACTCTGTGAGGGACAGAATTCCTGAGATTCACTACTCTCGGAGTGAGGAAAATATTTCTCCTCATCTCAGATAAAAAAACACCGCTCTGGTCACGCTGAGACTGTGGTCTCCCAGCCCTTGGCTCTGGACTGTCTCCGTGGAAACATTCTCTGAGTTACCAGGCTCAGGGAATTTTGTCCATTACAGACTGAGGGGTAGGCAGCTCAATGCATCAACATTGGTCTCTTCACCCAGTTACTCCCAGGCAGACAGCTGCTCACAGTTAAACTCCTGGGAACACAGAAGTGTTAAACAGACATCTTCATCCGGAGATTCACACCAGCATGTAATTGTGGATTAGTCTTGTGGAGTTTCTCCGGAGGCCCAGACTCCAATTCCAGTGCCTTCTCTACAGGAAACAAGGTGATGCCAAGCCAAACGTCAGGACCCAGGTCAAAGGGCACATTCGACTCAAAGTTGAGGCCTACTTTCTGGTCAGTGGTAAGGCCTACATTTCAGTCAATAGTGAGGCCTGCAGACCAATTAACAGTGAAGCCTACAGTCTAGTCAATGGCGAGGCCTACATCTCAGTGAATGGTGAGACCTGTAGCTTAGTTAATGGTGAGGCCTGTAGCCTAGTTAATGGTGAGGCCTGTAGCTTAGTTAATGGTGAGGCCTGTAGCTTAGTTAATGGCGAGGCCTACATTCTAGGTAATGGTAAGGCCCACAGTCTTATTAATCGTGAAGCCTACTTTCTGGTCAATGGTGAGGCCTACAATCTCGGTAATGGTGATGCCGGTAGCTTAGTTAATGGCGAGGTCTACATTCCAGTCTGTGGTGATTGAGCCTAAATCTGAGTGAACGGTGAGATGTCTACCTTCGTGGATTTCCCCCGATACTCTGAAGATTGGCAGGCTAGGTGGATTGGCCACGCCAAATTGTCCATAGTGTCTATGGACGAGCAGGCTGGTTATGTTAACTATGTTAAAAGGATTGGGTGGGGGGGGCCTGTGTTTGGGTGGGACGCTATTCGGAGGGGTCAGTGCAGACTCAATGGGCCAAACAGCCTTGGACGATTCTATGAATCTATGTCACGATAGCAGGAATAGTCTAGTCAAATGTTGAGGCCTACATTCTCGTGAATAGTAAGATATATTTTTTTTAGTAATGGTGGCAGGTATAGTTGGTGTTGATGGTGAGGCCTACATTTTAGTTCGAGTGAGGTCTACCTTTTGTTGAAAATACGTGAAAAACAAAGACTTATTAATCAAGCTCACTTCCTGTTTTCTTCAACCCTATTCCCCAACCACCCACCCCCCTCCTCAGCATTTCTGGTTATTAATTACCGATGCAAAACTCGAAGGTGCACCTTGACATGAATGAACCACGCTCAGAAATCCCCATGAAATCCAAAACGCCACTCCTGCTACTCTCAGTCTCACCCTGGCCTGTTTCTGTCCCTCTCCGCTGCAGGTTACACACCGTTACACGTCTCGGTGATCAGCTACCAAAAGGAAATCGTCGAATTTCTCCTGGACCAGGGCGCTGACGTCGACGCTGTGGTAAGCCCGGTGGGAACTGCCCCCTCCCCACATCCCACAACCCCCCCCAAATCCCCCCTGGTCTTCGTGGCTTTGCGTTCCTGGTCACGGTGGCCAAGGCAATTGGTCCAAGGCTGGCAAAGGTCAAAGGGCATTGCCCAAGAGACAGTGCAAATGGGACACAACTGGCACCTTGTTGAATTACTGCCCCGTCCCTAGCTGTCCCTGGAGAATCTTTGAACCACCGAGGCTCTCTTGGTGCAGGCTCACCCCCACAGCAAGGTTCATCCAGGGGCAATTGGGGGGTATTCCATCACACTCCTGCCTTGTCGATGGTGGGACAGGCTTTGGGGGGAGTCAGGAGGGGAGTTACTCGCTGCAGGATTCCCAGCCTCTGACCTGCTCTTGTAGCCGCTGTGTTAATGTGGTGAGTCCAGTTGAGTTTCTGGTCAATGGTAACCCCCAGGATGTTGATAGTGGGGGATTCAGTGATGGGAACACCATTGAATGTCAAGGGGGGCAGTGGTTAGATTGTCTCTTATGGGTGATGGTCATAGACCGGCATTTGTGTGGCACGAGTGTTACTTGCCAGATACCAGACCTCAAGGGTGAGTTTAATGGAATCTCTCGTGCCCTCAAAGAAATGCTTTCCTGAAAATGTGGGTGTTCTGCTTTTTTGCAGGATATTAAGAGCGGGAAGACACCCCTGGTTCATGCAGTCGAGAATAATTACATGGACATGGTCAGGCTTCTCCTGCAGGTAAAAGGTTAACACAGACTGGGGCAGTGCAGCACTCCCTCAGCACTGACCCTCCGACAGTGCGGCGCTCCCTCAGCGCTGACCCTCCGACAGTGCG